CATTTTTTTTTGCTACCAGACTCTTTTTTTTTACCTCTTTTTTTTTTTTTTTTTGAAAAATCTTTTGTAAGGCAAACAAATAAAAATAAAAATATGGGGTTGTAGATCTTTTCGAGATCTACAACCCCATATTTTTAATTGTTCTTTTTTTTTTTTTTTGCCCCTATAACACCATCGGACGACTTTCGTCCATATGCCCGTACGGTCGTCCGTCCGTCCGTATGGACGGGCCGTACGGGGCCTGACACAGTCCGCCAAAGTGTGGAATACTTGTCTTGCTTTGGTCCATGCCGTCAATAATGATGCATAAACTGTTGGAACCTGGTCTCTTCGAGTCATCCTTCCACACCTCATACACAACACGATGTTGGAGCTGTCAATCCAAGTGTTTCTTGCGTATCAAAAAAAAGTACTCACGCACACGTACGAACTTTGCAGAATTGATAGATTCTTTGTATTCGACACATTTCTCGCATTTCGCAAAGTTTTGATCAATGTCATGAAATTTCACATGTGAGAACTGCGTTCTCCACATGTTGTAGAAAACTTGGAGAGAAACACAAGGAGCACCCATGTTGTCGAATTGCAACTTTAACAACTTATAAATATCAACCTTGTTATAGCAAACAGGCAATCTCAACACCACTCTCGATTCCCCTTCTTTGATCTTCATGTCATTGGGCATGGAATCTCCGTTTAGTCGCATGAAGGAACTTAGTTTCTCGTACATCGTTGCATATGTTGTTGATGTGCGTCTAAGTCCAGTGCTACAATGCTCCGGCATAATGTAGTCTTTTGACAAAGTCATCCTTTTTTTGAAAAACGTATTCCTACATACACCTAATGTGAAACACCAGTCACTAATGCACACCTTTCTTTTCCCCAGAATAGGTTGAACAATCTCCTTCTCATCTTCTATGAAGGTGAACCTCTTCAACGTTTCAACACACCATGCATCCCTGTTTTTCTGGTCCTTAGAGTAGTATGCGCTCCGGACAACTTTGATGTCTTCCAGAGTCATTTGAGTGCAACACTTTCGCTTACAACAAACTTGTCCACGCACACTCGCCAGTGCTTTTTTGGTGAGTTTTCTATGAATTGATTACAGAATCTTCTTTGACCATGGCATTCTGACACGAAAAGTATAAGGACGGTTCTCTGAGGACAGACGTTTCGGAAAAATGTCAACGAAATCAGAGATCACATCACAATGTTCATTGTCATTTCGACAACAGTGGTCAGTGTTCTGGTTAGCGTACGTTTGCGGATGACCGATTTTATCTGGAGAACTATCAGCGCTACACGACACCGAAGCACTTGAATCTGAACCATCTTCATCACTCTCACCAAATAGAAGACCTATGTACTCGAAATCTCGAAGTGAACTCCTCGGCACCCATACAACACGGTCTACATCGGATGTGTAGTTATCAGTAGAGGAGGTCTTACCCTCCTGACCTTCCGCACTTTCTGCATCACAGGTTCAAACCGGGTAGCGTAGGACCGGATACGCACTTTCACATGTAGTGTCCGCACACGCAATAATCCGTGACCTCTTATGAGCGGGAAATTCCGGAGTATTATTGACACGTTCGGGACTACTTTGAACATTTTGTGAACACATTGGCAGGTCCGGTGGAGGAAAATCCTCATTGAGCATTGTATTAGATACCACACAATCCATGCTTTCCAAGGTTGTGTTGCAAGCCTGCCGTGGCATATCATGCACACAACAAGCCATGTACGAAACGTGTCTGAGACAACAAAACAGCGGACCACTGTCAAAGGCGCAAGACATGCAACAGAGTGTGACAAAAATCAGAGGTTAATGAAAGGGAACAGACAACCAGCCCTACATAAACGACAACGAGAAACATAGCCCTATAAACGACAGCGAGAAACACAGCCCTACACGGGATGGAGGGGAATAGGAAACATTTGAATGAGGATAGCACAGTACCTTGGAATGTGAGCATCGAGATGAAACATTTACAAGGGCACAGAGATCGGGTTCGAAGCATAATGAATTGGAGACGGGGGATGACTCATTAGTTCAGTCATCGGGGCAATATGTGCCAAAGGTGCAATACACGCAAAAGAGTTTGGTGAAGTCAGAGATCGAACGAGGGCGGAAAACGTAGCACATGGGTTGTTGGGCACCAGTATCGCAAAGGCAGAGATCATGACGCGCAAAACACAGCGGGCACCAGCAGCGGAAAGGCGGAGATCCTGACGCGCAAAAGGAAACGTAGCACATGTCACGTTGGGCACCAGTATCGGAAAGCCAGAGATCATGATGCTCAAAACACAGCGGGTACCAACAGCGGAAAGGTGGAGATCCTGACCCGCAAAACACAGCCTGACATCAGAGCATTGAGAGGGAACATTCAGAACGACACAGGTTTGTAGAACACAGAACCAATCTTGTTCGAGGAACTTTAACGACGACACAGGAGGAGTTCCTATAACCTAGAGTGAGCTGGAAAACGACTGTGGCAACGCGACCATCTGTGTATACACCCGTACCAATACGGCCCGTCTGTACGGTCGTACGTCCGTACGTACGGGCCCCCCGGTACCCATACGGCCCGTACGTATGGACTTTGGGCCCTCCGTATGTCCTTTCGCGGGGGGTGTTGAGGGGGTGGATGGGCTGGGGAGGTGTCGGGTGT